TGGATTAATTTAATTAGATATTTAATAATTTTAAGATTAATTTTTATTTTTTTAATACAAAATTATAAGTGAGGCACTTATCTTAATTGCCTAATAAAAAATAATGTTTATCTTGTATGCCATGTAATTTGAATTTATAATCTTTTACTGTCAATATAAAAAAATTATCACTAAATAATTTAAGTCGTTAACAGATTTTTTTTAATTTTATTTTTATTTTAAGTAATTTTTTAATTTTTGTCCTTAAGTTATAATTATCATATTTTTTAATTATAAAATAAAATTTAATTTTAATTTTATTAATTTTTTAATTAAATTATTTTATATAAAATTAATATTAAAAATAAAATTTATTTTTATAAAATAATTTTTTATATAAATTAATAATCCTTAGTACGTAACATTTAAAGTACAAATTAAAAAACTAGTCACCCTTTAGGAGGCGTCCGCTAATGCGGAGCGCTCTTATCCTGTTCCATTACCATCTTAAAATAATAATGATAATATATACTCTTTTTATTTTAAAATAAAAAGATATCAAAAAATTATATTATTATTAAAATCAGATAATTAATGAGATATAAAATCTCAATTGAATCTCATCTATTGTATGATTGGATTAAATATTTTAATATTTAAAATATTAAAATATTTTAATTTTAATTTTTAAAAATAAATGTCTTTTTTATTTTTTAGATTTAAATATAAAAATAATTTATATATTTATTTATATTATTCTTAAAATAAATAAGGATAAATTTTTTATAAAAGAATGATTAATTAAAATAAATATGCACTAATAAAATTAAAATTAAAAAATATTTATTTTTAAAATAAATAATTAATTTTAAATAAATTTAAAATAAAAATAATTATTTTAAAATAAAGAGAGTATTAAATTAAAAAAATAAAAAAAGAAGATTTGGCCAAAAAAAATTGCCACTACGTCCCAAATACGGTGCATTTCGTTCTTCTTTCTCAATTTCTCCATTCTTCTTGCCATGAACGCTACCTATGCAGAACACACTCTCTTCCTCTTCTTCGAATCGAAGCACATGCATGCCAAAATCCTTCTCATCCTCTCTCAATGGATAAGCAAGGGCTCTTTCTAATTCTTCATCTATGTCAATTCCATCATTTTGGTACGAACATAACAAAATGCGAGGAAACGAAATTCCACTAACGTAAAAAGACACAAAATTAATCATGACCTCATATTATCATTCATCCATGTTTGAGAAAGGCAAAGAGGGGAAAGAAAAGAAAAGAAAAAATTGGAATCATATCCAGACGAACACAGAGAGAAGGAAACCCCAACAAACATCAAGGGGAGAGAAAAACATACTGGAACCATATCCATTTGGAAAAACATCCCAATTTGACAATAACCAAATATGGAATGGAACATTATGTACTCGCTTCAGCGTAAAAAAAGATTTAAAACAATTATGGAGAAATTATAGAAGAAATCATTTTACTTTTGAAAATAGGCAATAAATTGGGGGAGACAAATTGAAAAAAATTGGGTTTACCGTCTTAGGAATGGGGCAAATTGTAGGAGACAAATGGAGTAGGACGTCATGGCAATTATTTCGCCAGAGCGTCTTATTTTCTGTTTTCATTTTTTTTCCTTTTTGGTAATTCAGGTGCATATTTGGGATTTAAGCCCAATGGGAGAAAATGGGTAGGTGATGGTATAAATTTTGTTTTTATTTATTTATTTAAGTATATAAAATTTTTTATATTTAAATTAAAGGGTAATTTTTTTTGTCTTTTAAATAAAAATGTAAAATTTGTAATTTTTTATTTAAAAATTTATGTTGTAATGGAGGTGATAAATAATAATTTTAAATAAAATAAATAAAATTTATACTTTTAAATAAAAAATAATAAAGTTTATATTTCTAAATAAATAAATATAAAAATTTACATCCCATTTAGAAATTTAAAAAGATGCCATCTTTAAATTAAATTAAAAAAATGACAGAATTTATAACTTTTTCTCCCAATCTTGTGGCGCCTGCCGAGGCTTCCAATCTCAAGTTCGCCCTGCATTACGATCCCGCCGGCGATTAGTCCGATATCCTTCGGTTCTTCTGTGTCTTTCTAAGGTTCGTTTACATTGACCCATTTGATTTCTTCTTAATTATTTTAACCCGATGTTCTTTCGTTTTGCGATGTTATGGGTCCCGGCATTCTTTGGACTGAAATTGTTTTCTCAGATACAAAATTCCTTTTTTCTCTTTTTTTAAATGTTTCTATTCGCTTGTATATTTAACACTTTATTTGTATTGGAAAAGTTAGAAGGGAAAAGAGAGGAAAGCGGAGGGTGTGAATACCTTCAGTTTTTTGGATAAATAATTTGTTATTTGGATAAATAATTTTAACAAAGCAGAGAGATTGAGGGAGAGATTGAGGGAGGAGGAATACCCTTCGTTACTATGTTTTTAATTTCATTAATTTTGGAGGATTAAGATAGATTATATTATTTAATTTA